TCTAATCAATGTCACACGGCGATACCAAGTAGAAGAATTGCATACAATCTGTACCCAGCTATACCCGGCTGCGCGTCGACGAGGCAAAACGTTAGCCACATTAGCTGCCATGCTAACAACACACGCAACAGGCTCTCGTGAACATACAGTAAAGCAACATAAAATGGTAAAACTTACAGCTTCCAAGTTCAAAGTTGGTTCACGGACAGTCGGTACTAATCCAAGCTTTATCTTGAGACTTGTAGCAAATCCTGCATTGTACTGGCCCTCCTTGAGAAAGCAGTCCGAGGTGAAATGGTTAGCACACGTACAACACTTTCGGAGTTGGAGCGGGTACATTTCCATCAAAAATAAAATTAATCCACTGGGTCTTCAGATCCTCGGGCGTAGGGGTTAAAAAAGACTTCTGTGTTGGTTTGTGCAGCCAACAACAAATCAACTACTGTGTTTCGCTTCGTACCTTCGACATTGTTCTACCGAAAGCTAGCGTTCGAGAAGGAAGTAACGATAGCGGCTGCAAGCCGGACTCAGTGGGCGGAACACACACCTAGCTCGGGGAGTGTCACCCACCCGGGGGGAGGTGGCATCTCCCTTCTTGACGACATCAAGGGAAAATCTCCAATTCGCCTGTCTGAGCACACATTTCCTGAAAGGTGGAGAAAGCAAAAGACGGAGAGGAAAACAAAACCCACTATATTAAAAAATCGGTAATCATGAACTCATATGATAAGGGGGGCCTCAACTTTTTGGACTTTTATACTTTAAATAATACTTTCAAAATAAATTGGTTAAAACAATTCATTAAAAACCCTTTTTCAATATGGAACTTCATACCAAATTTTATTTTTTCTAAATTAGGAGGCTTAAATTTCTTTTTGCTATGTAATTATGATGTTGAAAAAATCCCCTCAAATTTATCTTACTTTCATAAACAGATGCTTCTTTCCTGGTCTTTGATTTACAAACATAACTTTTCCCCACACAGATACTACATATGGAACAATAAAGACATCGTATACAGAAAAAAATCTTTATTTTACCCCTTTTGGTTTTCTCACGGCATACTGTTAGTTCGTCAGTTGTTTAATCAAGATGGATCACTAATGTCATATGAAGAATTTATTTCGAAATATAGTATCTTAATCCCTATTAATGAATTTAATACTGTTATAAATGCAATCCCTGATGGAGTAATTATGTTATTAAAAAATACAGCAGGACACAATCCAACTTTAATACCGACTGATCCATCCAAACTTGAAATTGGTCAAATTTGTTTCTCATCAATACGAAATAATAATCATCGTATACGTTCTTTATTTCAAAAAGATGTCGTATCAATTCCTTATGTGGTATCTTATTGGAACTCCTTTATTAATAACCTTAATTGGAAAAAAATTTGGAATTTGTCAGCTAAATATTTGATAAACAATAAAGCAAAAGAAGTATCCTTTAAATTGATTCATAGATTTTACCCAACAAAAATTTTTCTACAACGATTCAAAAGAGATATTGATGTTAATTGCTCTTTTTGTGAAAGACACCCTGAGGATATTTTTCATTTATTCTGGTCTTGCCCCTTTTCCACCAAATTATGGATGGATATTTGTGATTTAATTTCTACTTGCATTTTACCACACTTTTCCTTTTGCTTTGAACATGTATTGTTTGGCTTCATTGACTATCCACCAACAAAAAAAGGACATTTTTATGTAATTAATCTGATCATATATTTGGCAAAATGGCATATCCATAAGTGCAGATACACTGCCCAAAAACCACTCTTTTCTATTTTTAACAATGAGGTCAAACAATATATAAAAACCATTAATTACTCCACTAATAAGAAAGCTATTAAAACTATTTCCATGTGTGCTCTCTTTGATATATTTTTGTAATACCTCTGTAATATTCTATTTCTTTTATATGTTTGTAACCCCCTGGAGATTTTCATTGCACTATTCTTTTGTATTGTTCTGTATGTCTCAATAAACTTGTATTAAAAAAGAAAAAAAAAAAAAAAAGACGGAGAGGATGGACTTTTCTCATGTTTGGGGGGTTCGTAGACATGCCAGGGACACATACTACTGATAGAATACCAGGGAAAAGTGCATTTTGCATAATATGTCCCCTGTCTAATGTCTAACACAAGTTCATATAAAAGGTGTAATAAACGGAGGATTAGGATCTGTCTAAGTTAAGTTTCTCTTACCTTTCCTCTTAACTGCTGAATCGAAAGTTAACTTCAGCGTCGTCGAGCAATGTGAGTTGATGCAAAACAGTCGTTAACAGTGAAATCCAACTACACTGTAAAACAGCAAATTAAAGGCCTGATGATGTTTGAATTGGAATTTACATATGAGTTGATTTAATACTGAAAATAAATGCTAGCGACCCGTCCACAAGCAATCAATCACATAAAAAAAAAATAGAAAAGGTAAGAGCTTTGTGTAGTTGAACAGAGCTTAGAACCAGCTCCTGATGTATGATCACTATACTGGTAAAAAGGAATGTCTATACCAGGGGTGTCCAAACTACGGCCTGCGGGCCAACTGCGGCCTGCGGTCCAGTTTTTATTGGCCCGCAGCAAATTCTGAAAATATAATTGAATATGGCACGCACAAGAAGCTTGAGCTCAACTGTTGCACTTCTCAGTTTCAACACTAGATGGAGCCAGCCACGGAAACGGTGCTTCTCCACTAAACAAAATTAAGCAAAGAAAAACTTTTACCGCAAGTCACCAGAAATGGCGGCACCGAAGAAACGCAAAATAGCAAGTGAGTGTAGAAGATTTCAAACACGGTGGGAAAATGAATATTTCTTCAAAGAAATCAACGGAAAGTGTGTCTGTTTGATTTGCAATGAAGATGTTCCTGTGATGAAAGAGTATAATGTCCGTCGGCACTATGAGACCAAACATCAGAGCTACACATTGTACACCGGTGCCGAACGAATACAGAAAGTCAAGCAAATGGCAGCTAGCCTGCAAGCTCAACAACAGTTTTTTTTCGTGCTAACAAAATACAGGAAAACGCCACAACAGCAAGCTATGAATTCGCTAAACTTATTGCCCAGCACGGCAAACCGTTCTCAGACGGTGATTTCATAAAGCAGTGCCTCATGAAAGTCACAGAAATAATGTGCCCTAAAAAAGTGCAGGATTTCAACAACGTGAGCTTATCCAGAAATACAGTGGTGCAGAGAATCGAGGACTTGTCAGCTAACTTGAAACTTCAGCTGAGAGACAACGCTTGTGCTTTTGATTTTTACTCGATAGCATGCGATGAGAGCACAGATGCCACAGACACCGTGCAGCTGTTAATTTTTTTGCGGGGACTAGATGATAAGCTGCTTGATATGATGAGCCTGAAAGGCACAACGACGGGTAGAGATATTTTTGAAGCTGTGTCAGAGGCAGTTGAAAAGATGGGGCTTAAATGGGACAAGCTCTGTGGAGTAACAACGGATGGAGCTCCGGCCATGATGGGCGAGTGCAAAGGAATGGCATCGATGGTGTGCGCCAAGGTAAAAGAGAGCGGAGGTGAGGCTGTTAGGATGCACTGTATAATCCACCAAGCAGCACTGTGTGCCAAGACTGTCCAGCTGGGCGATGTGATGAACACTGTTGTAAAAACTGTCAACATAATTCGAGGTAGAGGACTGTACCACAGAGAATTTCAAGCTTTCCTATCTGATGTGGATGCTGAATACGGGGATGTACTCTACCACTCTGATGTGCGCTGGCTCAGCCGCGGCTCTGTGCTGCAGCGGTTTTATTCGCTGAGGTCAGAAATCGACCAGTTTTTGAAAGAGAAGGGCCGACCTCTTCATGAACTGAGTGATCCTCTGTGGCTGGCAGACCTGGCATTTTTAGTTGATCTTACTCATCATCTGAATACACTGAACAAGAACCTACAAGGCAAAGAACAGCTGGTGCCACACCTGTATGCGCACATGAAAGCCTTCTGTGCAAAGCTCCGCCTGTTTGAGACACAACTACGAAGCTTTAATGCTGCACACTTCCCTGCGCTGTCTGAAATCAAGTCTGCTTTTCCAAAGGCCGACCTTTCTGCTAAAAAGGAGAAATATGTGTCTGTGATTGCATCTCTCGTGACAGAATTCAACCAGCATTTCCAAGATTTTTCTGTCATTGAAAAACAAATCAAGCTGTTCTCGACCCCCTTCCTGGTGGATGCAGAAGAAGTGGAAGAGAGTCTGCAGTTAGAACTGATTGAAATGCAATGTGATGATTCTCTGAAGAGTCAACATCAGCTTCTCTCCCTCCCTTTTCTATCAGAGTTTGGATAATGCCAAGTTTCCTCTGATGAGACGCCACGCAAAAAGAATGATGAGCCTGTTCGGCTCAACATACATATGTGAACATGTTCTGTTAAATCAGAACAAAAGCAGACTGAGAACCAGAATGACTGATAGCCATCTCTGTGAAGTCCTTCGTGTCTCAACCACCAAACTTTCTCCTGACATGTCAGCCATCCTTCAATCCAAAGGACAGCATCACTGCTCCCACTGAGTGCAATGTTCTTCACATTATAGGTGAATTAGAAATACACACAGTATTCATGTGCCAATATGTCACCTCTAATGTGTGGCCCGGCCCTGTTTATTTTTCTGTATTTGGCCCTCACTAAAAAAACTTTGGACACCCCTAGTCTATACAAACTTAACTGGAGCTAGTTTGAACTTGAACCCAGATCTACTGTTCATCACTTAGCTAAGACTGCGACTAGAAGTAGCTGGAAAAGTTGTTGTAATGACAGTACCAGCACTCATGGTGGCAGCAACAGTTCTGACGTACCACTGTGGCGACGAAGAAGAGGAGGAAAGCCGTAAATAGTCTGTTTACTTTGGTTTACGTCCACCGACAACTGGTTTCTGGCAGAACGGAACTGCTCTTCCCGGTAAAGCTAGTGAAAGTGTGATCGAAATAGCGGCTGTCCTGCCGTCAGGATAAAGGCACTAATGCTGCCCGGAATATAATTACAGCCAGTCTTCCGCTAATGAGGCTTTTATTTTGAATGTGGTGACCGGAAGCTGTGTCAGTAACTGTCTAGTATTGACCCTGTTCGGGCCACAGTGGATTCAGATCCCAACGCTTGGCTGACTTCAGGACACTAACGTTAGCTCCCGCTACATGTATGTTAATAAAAACACAGAAGGAACAGTGGAATTGAACACACATGGATCCCAACCGGATAATCCAGGCTCTGAAAGGGACCATCGACCCGAATTTGAGGATCGCAGCGGAGAATGAGCTTAATCAGGTGGGTGAGCTGAAGTAGTTGGTTGTTTTTTTGTTTGTTTGTTTTTTTCAGGGGAAGTATCACGGACCGTTTTTGGCCCAGAAATGATGCCGGTGTTTGTGGAGGAAGGCAAGTCGTGTTTTGGTGATTGAGCTCGGCTTCGGCCTGGTGAATACTCAGCCCTGGTTTGGTAGTTTATATCAGGCCTGTGATCAGCAGTTTGATTAAACTCACACACACACACACACACACACACACACACACACACACACACACACACACACACACACACACACACACAGACTCAGGCAGCTGCGACGGAGAACAATAGGAGTCAGATGTGACAGCCATCATGGACCGTCAGGACCAGTGGTACCCAAACTTTATCATGTCACCACACACATGACCACATCATCCTGCTGTTTCACACAGACCTGCTGTGATATAATAAAAAATAATCATGTTTCCTGAACATTTGATTAATAAAACTGAATGATTTATTGCACCACATTATGATTGAGAATATATATAATATTTATGTGAAATGTTCCTCATACCCTGTAAAGAGTGCACTGTGAACTTCACCCTGAAGATGTATTTCAGTGTTAAAACACTAATCAGTAAATAAAACAGTAGAGAGATTCCAGTTAATTGGATGAAGTCCAAATACAACGAATGGTCTAATTCCTTGTAAAGGGATGCATGAAATTAGACCTAGTGTCACAGGTTGAAGAAAACGTAGGTAGTTTGAACATTTCATTATCTTGTGCACACATGGTAATAGATTATTATGCATTTTCAAAAACAATATTAATTAATTTTGTCATGCACACAAATGGAAAAAGCAGTTTTTCCATTTGTGTGCAAGCAAGGTATCTGCAGGTCTTAAAGTCTTAAACAGGACTGAATTCTGTTTCTTCAGAAAAAGGTTTGTAGCATTAAGCTGCTCTTTGATCTTCTGCCATTCATGTGAGTCAAATAAATTTTATTATATCATTGGAATTATTGTTATACACTTCTGGGAGGGCGGTAGTGCCTGCCTGTAATATTTTCATACTTTGGCAGTACAACCATGAAACGGGTGAAACAGATGTTCAGTGACATTCTGTGAATTAAAAGGTTTTAAAAAGTCTTAGCTGTAACTTTGCCCTCTTGTGGTTTTTCTCACTGAGTCTGCTCCTTGTGTTTTAGTCCTACAAGATCATCAACTTTGCACCGACACTGCTTCAGATCATTGTGTCGGAGCAGGTGGAGTTTCCTGTTCGTCAGGCAGGTAAGACACTAAACAGCTGAGAGAACAACACGGCTGCTACTCTCCTCTCACTGTTAAGGGTAATAATAATCTTTGTCTTTAATAATGATAAATATAATTAAAGGTAATTCTCCTGTTTGATTTTCATATTGAGAAATGTTTACAAAGAAATGTCTCACTGGTCATGTTTATAAGGAAAAAATACCACTGCCTCAATTTGTCAAGAGGTAAAATTACAAGAAGGATCTTACTCTATAACAGAAAGGACTCCTGTCCATAATGTTGCCAGAGACCTGTAATAACAATCTGACCCACTGTTTACATTGCAGCAGCTGTTTAGCGGTTGGTGGGTATAGACTGTTCTTCCTTCTTAGTGGACCAATTGATTAAGATTTTTATCATACAAATCATTTAAAAACATGAAAAGATAGAGCCCAGAGTTATCATTTAATATCAACAATTCTTGTGAGAAAAAGCCCAAACCAACAATGTGTTAGTCCACCGTCAACACTGTCCTACTCTGTGGCTCTTAACTCTGAGCCCATTGGTTCCCACTAAAGATATTTCTTTAAAAACGTCTCACAGACTTATTTTTAAAGGCTCGGTAATATCCTAAAGCAGCTGGTCATTTTAGTTTTTAACAAATATTCCGCAGTTAGTGCATTTGTCAGGGACACTTTTCAACAGTGGATTAATCCACGTTCGTTTGGTGCTCTAATGAGTATTTGTGGCAGCAGGATAGTATGTGTGGGACTGAGTCAAAACAAACTACAGTTGTTTCTACCTTCACTCAGTGTCTGTTGTTACTTAATGACATCCCTCTTCGCAGGTAACTATAAATGACAGGTGTCTTTTGTTAACTGGTCTCACAGCTTCTAAGAGGATGTTATCTTGTCTCTGAAGGAACAGCTCTCTGCTTACTGGAGTTCTCTTTCAAACCTCGCTTTCCCTATGGGAAGCAGCCTCTGGAATGACCTATCACAGAAGCTACACTATTACCACATCTGTCAGGGGACAGACCACATTCATGTGTCCATTAGCTCATTGTTGATAATGATAATAACAGTTAATAATAAATAAACAATAATTAAATTAGTCCACTTCCTTTGGCTGAGTTGTTGTATAGCCTGATGGCAGTGGGAACAAAGGATCTCTTAAACCTTTCTGTTTTGCAGCGCAGTGAGATGAGACGTTTGCTGCTGTAGCTGCTTCTCTGTCCTGCCAGAATGTTGTGGAGAGGCTGGTTGGTATTGTCCAAGATGGCCACCAGACTCCTGCCAATTACAGACCCAGCCTTTTTGACCAGCTTGTCTAGTCCCCTTGTGTTCATGTCAGACATGCTTCTGCCCCATCAGACTGCAGCATAAAAGACTACACTGGCCACCACTGACTGGTAAAACGTGCAGCATTTCACTGCAGATGTCAAAGGACCTGAGACTCCTGATGAAAAAGAGCCGGCTCTGCCCCTTCTGGTAGATTGCATCTGTGTTCAGGGACCAGTCCAGTTTACTGTCCAGGTGCACACATAGGTATTTAGTATTTTAAGTGTACACCACCTCAATGTCCTTCCCATGAATGTTGACTGGCTGAAGGGTGGCCGTCAACCTCCGAAAGTCGAAGACCGACTCCTTGGTCTTGGAGGTATTCAGAAGGAGGCAGTTCTTGTCGCATCATTCACTGAAGGCCATTGTCAGATTCCTGTTCTCTTCCTGCCCGTTCCTGATGCATGCCACAATAGCTGTGTATCAGGAAGTATTTCTGGATGTGGCAAGACTCAGAGTTGTATTTAAAGTCCGCCGTATACAGGATGAACAGGAACGGAGCCAGAACAGTCCCGTGTGGAGCCCCAGCACTACTTTTCACAGTCCCTGAGACGCAGCTATCCAGCCTGACATACTGTGGTTGTCTTGTCAGGTAATCCACAATACAGGACGGTGATCAGTGACAGTGATCCACCCCCATCACTTCCAGCTTGTCTTTAAGAATAGGTGGTTGGATGGTGTTAAGTGCGCTTGAAAAATCAAAGAACATAATCCTCATGTAAAAACCTGGCTCATCCAAGTAAGGATGGGCCCGGTGGAGCATGTAAAGGACGGGATCATCCACTCCAATATGTTCCTTGTAGGCAAACTTTAGGGGATCTAGTGCATGTTGAACCTGTGGCTTCAGAAGGTGGAGAAGCAGCCGCTTCAGGGTCTTGATGATGTGTGACGTAAGGGCCACTGTAATCATTTATCTGAGCTGGTCGTCCTACTTTAGGTGCCACAACAAGACACGATGTTTTCCACAGGACCGGGACTCTCCGTGTTTGTAGACTTAAGTTGTAGCTCCCAAGGAGAGGCTCAGCCAGCTGGACTGCACAGTCCTTTAACAGCCTCGGACACACACCATCCGGGCCTGCTGCTTTTCCAGGATGTAGCCTCTTGAGCTCCGCCCTTACCTCCTCTGCTGCAAAGGACAAGAGACTTAACCCCAGTGTGGAAGGAGTTGCAGCTGCAGTGTCAGGTTGTGAAGGAGATGCTTAAGGAGAAGCTGCAGCTGAAGCAGTGGGAGAGAGAACAGGTGAGGCTGTGTCAAACCTGTTACAGAACAGGTTGAACTCATTGGCATTGTCCACATCATCTGATGTTGCCTGGCTATTCTTCTCTTTATAGCTAGCGTTGGTCCTCATCCCCTTCCACACCTCTCTGGTGTTGCTGTGCTGTAACTCCCTCTCTACTTTCCTTTTGTAGTCCTCCTTCGCCTGCTTGAATCTCTTCTTCAGCTCATGTTGCACACACCTGAGCGTCTCCCTGTCTCCATCCCTGAAGGCCTCCTTTCTCTGGTTGAGGAGGGGCTTGATGTTACTGGTGATCCAGGGTTTGTTGTTTGGAAAGCAGTGTACAGTACTTGCTGGTATTACAGTGTCCATACAGAAGTTGTGGTACATTCAACCATTCTATCAAGGTCTGCCAAGTAGTGGTAGCGCAGAAGCAGTGTAGGCCTCCTTGATATCTTCATACAACAGATCAAGTGTCTTATTTTCCCATTCAATATACTGAATGAAGTCAGTCAGTATACTGTGACTGCTTGTACTGCAGCGAAGCCACTTAAATCCATGCAGTGGTCCGGAGTGTTGTTGTTTAACCAGGTCTCCGTGAAACACATTAGACATTCCTCCAGTTCATCATACTTGTTAGCCAGGGAGTTGACATTTCTCATGAAGATCGATGGTAGAAAAGGCTTATATTGCCATCTCTAGCCTTTAGCTTAGCTTAGCCTGGTGATTGCAAATGGTGGAGCAATTGGCGTCATACCATCTTCATCCCAACTACTGATCCACCCTCGCCTCGACAGGACCTACCCTCCCAGGTAGGATGGAGTGCTTCACTGCCTCCACCAAAAGGTGTACAAGTCAGCAGCCCACTCCATTAGAAATCTGACTGTGGCTGCTGAATCAGGCCAAACATTTCCAGGAGATGGGACACCTTTTGGATTGAGGCTCTACAAGTCCAGCTATTTGGGAGGAAATGTGTCATCAAAGACCTCGTCTTCTGTTAGTCTAGAGGTGCAGTTCAAGGTTGTGGCTGCATCATGGGCCTGGCTGTGTCAAGGGAAAGATCGCTGTGGCTTAATCTTTCCATTGGCCTATCGCAGATGTATCGTATTAGTGCATATACTCGCATATAGTCGCAGTTTAAGGTAAACAACAACAACATCCTAATAAAGTGCACTCTTGCAAAAGTAGTAACAGAAAGTAAAATATCAATCAAAGACATTACTGACAGTCATTTAAACAGGATTTATTTATCAAAACACTAAATAGCTTATTGAAACGCAAAAATACAAACTGAAGTGACTGTGGTTATCTCTTTTAGTGCAACAGTTGCTAGTGCTAGTGCGTTAGTGCTTCCTCTTCAGTTGATTAAACAGGTTTGTCGTGTTACCACCCGACGTGCGAACGGTTTCTGTGCAAACTTTGCAAATTACATTTGCTTGCGCTTGATCAGTTGTGGAAAATCCAAACCAATTCCATATAATGGAGGTGGAATTTTTTTTAGCGACCAACTCCGTTTGGGTTTCAGCCATTGCTCTCCATGTGCTACCGCTACACACACAAACAAGGAGGCGGGTAGGAAAGTGCGTCACTGCCCGTAATTCACTATGATTGGTCGGTCAGGTTGACGTCAATACGTCTGGTGCGTCGGTGCATCAGCATAGAACTGCAATTTATAGAATGTGCCCTAGACAATCCCACGATCTCTGCAGTTTGAAAGATCGTCTTCACGTTGTAATCCTTCACGATCTAATATCGTCATATCGCCCACCCCTAGGTCAAATCAAGTTATATAGGCAGCATTTTATGTATATTTGATCGTTCTTTTCATTCAAGTTAAATATATCTAGGAGAGTGAGAGGAGAGTTTTTATATATATATATATATATATATGTAATATATAAAAACCCTAACCCAGGGACTATTCCCTGGGCAGTGGGAGTGGGGGTGGGAAATGGGTGGATTGTATTTGTAGTTTTTGCTTTGTTGTTTTTATTTAAATAGACTGTCTTGGTTCATCATGTCAGGGGCCAGGGGGTGGGGGTGAAGTGTGTTGTTGTCACACTTTCCCTTGTCTGCCTTGTATCACTTTTGTAGTGATGCCCCGATTAAGCGACCACTGATCATGATTGGTCGATTTTCATTAAAAATACATGATTGGTAGATCAGAGTAAATGCTTTTAGTCACCGATCACCTTAAAATGGATCTGTGGTTAATACTCTGGTGTCTGTGGCTGTGAGAAGCACTGTGTGCTGTGTAATGTAGTCCCGCCTCCCACCAGGTTCACTGCACAGGTGCGACATGCCACCAAAACAAAACAACATGTCGGCCTTGGGAACTTTTACAAAGTGTGTGAGACTGATATAACATACGCCTTCTGAAATGCAGTGCACCAAACTAACTTTTTCACTGCTTGCAGCCCTGATTTGGCCATACCTTTTTTAAATATAGCCTGTTTCTTCATGAAGGAGGCTCTTAGGCTACCTCCTCCTTAATTATGTTTAGCAAAAATGTAAAATTACATCATGATCGATTTCAGTAATTGAGTTACAATAACATTCATGATTTTTGTGCAGGCATAATAACCTAAAAACCTGTTACTAAATCATTAAGAAGTTTCAGAGCGACAGAGACACACAGCGTTGCGATAATCATAGTAACTCCCTCACTCACCTGCCTGTGTGTGTGTGCCTGCATGTACACAGTCTGAGAGGAGCAGCAGAATGGGAATAAATGGCAAATTTATCACTTTGCCCTGATGGTCTGAAGAACTCTCTGTTGCTCTGTGTTTTCTGTCTGTGTGCTGTCAGCTTCTTATCACGCAGCGACCTAAACTTACCACGGAGCAAAATGATTTCACCCAGTGACTAATTGTGCTATTCGCGCTGTTAGAGACCTCGTACACTACTCAAATGCTATTAGGTTTACTGGAAGATTTAAAAAATATGTGATATGACCACCAGGCCCCGACCCGGTTTAACCCCTGGCTCTCATATAGGCAGAGTTGAATTTGATGACCATTTTGTTCTCCCTCTGAAAAGCAGTGGGGAGAAGCTCTAGTCTTTTGGGTGATGCACCGGTGCCGGCAAGTTTTGTGCTTAAATTGCAGCAGTTCAAGCTTAAATTGTGTTGACTTTGTAACAAGTTTAGAGTTGCCTGCAATGAATGGCCCACATTGCTTACACTACGCATGCAACATTGCTATCATACCGCAACCAAGGGTATTGAGTTAGTACAGTGTCTCTGTCTGTCCATGTTTGCCCCTGTATTCTGATGAAAGGTTAGGTAGTCAGACTGACTGAGCCAGTGAAGAAAAAAAGAACTACTTTCAACTACAACGCAGTACATGTAGGGCACCAAAACAGCCTAATGGATAATTATCATGCAACGACCATGTGTAATTTTTACTTGCACACTCAAAACATACTCGCATATGCATTGCAGTTTGGAGCCCTGCAATGTCTGCCAAAAATTATTTGTATTAGCCGTGGATCAGCTGATCTCACTCATACATAATAGGTTTCGTGGCAAAAAACTTGATCAGGGCATCCCTACACTTTTGTGACAATCATAATGCTTCCCCTTCCTTATATAAATAACAGATGATACACAGTGATAATTGATACGGTGATAATTGTGCACACAATACAATGTGTGTCCATGGTGATGAATGACTGTGTCAGTGCAACAATGAGACTCAATGATGAATGACTTCTTAGTAGGAGACATTAATGAGATCACTCAAATGGATACATGTTTACCTGACAGTCTGTCTCTGTCTGTCTTTGTGTCTGTTTCTGTGTCTCTCTGTGTCTGTGTCTTTCTCTGTGTCTGTGTGAGTGTTTGTGTCTGTCTCTAACTATTTCTCTGTCTCTACAGCGGCGATATACCTGAAGAACATGGTTAGTCAGTACTGGCAGGACAGGGAGCCGTCTCTGGGTGAGGTTGTCTTTCCCTTCAACATCCATGAAAATGACCGGCAGCAGATCAGAGACCACATTGTGGAGGGCATCATTCGCTGTCCAGAGTCCATACGGTACACACACATATTGTCATGTTTCCACCTCTTTTTATAATGCATCAGCCTGTTTTATAGAAAAGCAACTTCTGCCTTTTTAAATGTTCTCATAGATTTCACATAGTGAGCTCCTGAATGATGAACACTTACTGAATGATACTGACTGTTGGTGCCTGGCTGATGCAGCTGGTGACTCCATATGTGTTTATACTGTCTGTAGCGCCCAGCTGACCATGTGTCTGCGAGCCATAATCAAGCATGACTTCCCTGGACGCTGGACTGCCATTGTGGACAAGATCGGCATGTACCTGCAGTCTCAGAACAGCGGCAGCTGGTATGGCAGCCTGCTTGCTCTCTACCAGCTGGTCAAAACCTACGAGTGAGTTCCTCTGCTCGACCTCATGGCTCTGAACATCCTCCTGGGGAGACATCACCTCAGACCAGGGCTGTAGGTTTTAAAGGAGCACCTACAGTATATGTGGTCCAATTACCCCAAACAGACTGTTCCTCATAAAGAACTAGAGAGGAACTAGACAAACACAAAACTCAGAGAAACACTTACCAGCAGTTTTTACCCAAAAAGTTTCCTGGTTTTATCATGATTTTCCATATAGAAATAATTTATTTCAGATTGAAAGTAAAGCTTCTCTACAAACAAACACCCTTGTAATGATGATGAGGAGGACAAGTCATATTTACCTGTAACATTCCAGGAAAAGTATTCTTGTCAGCTGTTATTTCTGAGCTGCCACATTCAGTATCTAGTGTTTGAGTCTTAAAACAGACACAAATCTGAAGAACTTGGTCACAATATATTTCTCTGTAGGTTAGCCTTTGAAAGAATCCATGAGTTCATTTAGGGATCACCTTTAAAAAAGGGCTGGGTTGAAAAAATTGATTCTCCGATTAATATCGATTCATAAAATATATGTAATAATTTAATATATGTCTTTTACACTCTCTTGTGGATGTGTCACAACAAGATCTTGTCAGGTGAGCGTAGGTGCGGCGCTGCTGGAACGATGCTCCGCCACTTTTTTTTCTCAAAGTAATGAAATAAAATATCCACAGTTTGCAGGATCCGGTTGAAATGTATCTATATTTTTAAGCGCTTGAAGATCTGATCACTAAAGTGTATATCATGCAAGATATCTAACAAAAAGAAATGAAATGGTCGAAGTTGTCTTATTGACATTTAAGGTGTATTGATTGGTTTCCAAATGTCAGTCATGCACTGAGTAACAGCCAAGAAAACATTCCACCTTAAAAGAATCCAGTAGTTGCCGGCAGCCTCTGGGCTGCTCAGTGAATTAAATCGTAAAGTAGTGAAGTTGAAAAGGCAGAAAACATCCTTTCATTCATTATTCACTCTTCTTAATGACAAAGTCTGTTACACTTGGACACTTTGCACTGCTGCCTAGCCTGTTGGCTTCATCTGACCTCTGCCTGCACTGTAGCTTCTCCTCTGAATGGATATTTCCAATAAGGCGTCATTTGCTTGACACAAGTAAGTAAATGTATGTAAACTAGCCAACGTAGGAACAGTGATTACATAACCTTTGAAACGAGCCACAATTCAATCGTGTGCATGCACCATAGTGCAAGTGACAGACAAAAACAGCAGACACCAATGAAATCAGCAGCAAGTCTAAAGGCAGGTGTGTGGCTGCATTTAAGATGTTAGCTATATCCTTCCATTGTAGCTGGTGTACTGGGGTACGTTAACGCACATTACAGTGATTCACCTGATGCCAAACACAACATGCACAAAGGAGAAGTAGTAACTGTCTGGCTTGATCTAGAGATTTGGCCTCTCACCTATTTTTCTCACGTGCTGAAATAGACAGAGAAAAGACCTGTTGATGTCATATTGACATCATACCAGCAACATTACTCAAGACTGATAGCTTTCACTATGTTTGTCTCTGTCTAGGCGGAATCTTAATATCATACAGACATGAAAATTGTAAATATATATTTTTTTAACCATTCAAGCAGCTGCATATGTAGACAGTGACATTTTACTGATGTTTTCTGCCAAAAATGAATCAGAAATTAATTAATAATGACAAGAAATTCAAGTAACCTGCCAACTCTGTGTAGAGAGTTGCAGCAGCAACACGGCACAGATTCAGAAAATTATCATGTGGATGTTTGTTGTTAGTGATCTTAAACGTTTTTGTGATAGACCAACCAAGTATGTATGGAAAGTTTGGGTGCTGACCCTCAGATTGGTGTGTGTGTGTGTGTGTGTGTGTGTGTGTGTGTGTGTGTGTGTGTGTGTGTGTGTG